AATAATATTGCATGAGTTCCTTGTTTTTCAATGCAGCATAGTATTCCATTGTGCGAATATACCACAGCTTCTCTACCCATTCGTTAGTACATGGTGTTTTAAGTGAGATCATGTGAAATGTTATGATTGATTTATTTTATACAATACAGTGTCCTCCACCTCGATCCATATCATGGTGGCCCACCTTTCGGTCTCCTCTGTGCTTGTTGTCTGTTGCGTGCATAGTGCATATACCATGTGATGTTTATCCATTCACCTGCTGAGGTCTGTTTAGATGGCTACTTTTTGGCTGTTTTCAATCCTTTGAGCATGTTGTTAGGAGGGGTTATTCTTTGGAATGAGATCTCATGCGTGGTAAGTTGGAGGTTCAGTCAAAGAGAGGAAGCCCCTCAATGAGATGGATTGACACAGTCATTACAGCAGTGGGTTCACGTATGTCAGAGATGATGAGGACGGCACAGGGTACGACGGTGCGGGTCTGTTGTTCATACGACCACTGTGATTCCTACTCGACAGCACTTAACAACAGCGATATCATAATGGGTAGAAGGACCTCTGGTTGCCTAGTGGAGAGGGATTTGAGCGTAACCGAGAGGCAGGCAGGTGGGAGAGTCTACCAGCTGTTGTGCACTTGGAGTTTTAGTTTTCATCTTTGCCATCCTCCTCCTTGTTTACCGTCCGGTCAGAACCCACCCATGGCTGACCCGTCAGCAGGCTTTCAGAGTCAGTTTAATCGCATGGGAAGAGGTTTCCTGTCTTTCCACAACGGAGCAGCTGGTGGATTTGAATGACAAGCCTTAGAGATACTCCCCTTAGTCACCGCCGTAGTGGAAATGCAGTGATATCTCCTTGTGGGTTGATCTGTGTTCCTCTGAGAAGTACTGATAGTGAACATCTTTCCGTGAGTCTGTTGGCCCTCTACCTTTTCTTCTTTGGGAAGATGTTTATTCAGATCCTTTGTCCAGTTTACCTTTGTTTTATTTATCTCTTTGTTGTTATCAATGTTACAGGTGTTTGCTATAAAAATTTACATATTTGCATACATATATTTATGTTCACCCTCTTGGTATCTATTGATATATTTGTACACACACCTGGCTCCACCAGTGACCCATCGTGACCCACTCAGTCTTTGTCGCCTTTTATTTACAGTCTTTGTCCTCCTACTGCCCCAAGCATAACTCGGCCCTCTTGCGTTCTGGCTGTTCAGCCCTTTCCCTTCCCTTCTTTCATAGCCCCCATCCCAGCATAACATTCTTAGAAAGGGTCTGGTTGGGAATTGGTTATACAGTCTGACTACAGACGCGTAGACATATCACATTGCTGCAGATGTTCTAGCCAGGGTAGGGACCAGCTGGTTGAACAGCAAGGGAGTGGAAATGGGCTTTAAAAATACTTGGAGGTTGGAGGACAGGAAGGGAGATAAAGGTGCATACATAGATATCTTTATGAACCTTCACTGAAATAAAAAGACCGCAGTACAGGAAACATTCATGGTAGCTCCCCCCATTGGAGTCATGCTTGTACTATGTGATTATAATTGACCAAGACGTGAGGACAGCAAAAATGCCATCACACCGATAGGAGGAATTGTCAAGAACATTCCAAAACCAATGGCAGAAACAGCTTTCAGGCAGAAGGTACAGGTGAGACCCTTTGGGGGCTGGGCGCGGGCAAGGTGCTCAGACGGATTCAGTCGTACACGAGCCTCCCAGACTGTCTTGGAAACAAGGAGAAGCCACTGCAGGCCATTAAGCAGGTTGGTGACACTGGATTTATGCTGTGGAATGTTCACTGTCACAGCCCTGAAGAAGATGCATTACCGTAGAAGGAAATAGACGATGGCGAGTCCAGCGGGGAGGCTATTACTATGCTGGCCAAGAGGCCAGGGGCAGAGGCAGGGGCATTAGCGGAAAGACACACTTGGAGAGACCAGAGCAAGATAAAGGATAGATAGTGTGAGACAGAGGCACCGATCAGATGTGAGGGCAAAGCCAAGTTAACAATTAAGAGCACGTTGACCCTTACACATCTGTGACAAAACATTAGAGCCCTCAAAAGACGCTGGACTTCAGCACTTTTTCTATGTAATAGGAAAGGAAAATGTACCTATTAAAAACCTAGCAGTTTGGCCAGAGTTTGACCAGATTGCAGACCTTATTTTTAATCCATAAAAAGGAAATGTTGGTGAGCTCTGGTGGCCTAGTGGCAAGAAGCTGCACTGCAATCCCAGAGGTGCACAGTTTGAATCCACCAGATGCTCTGCTGGAGAAGGAGGAACAATCTCCTCCTGTACCAGTCAGATCTGATTTGATGGTACACACAAAAAAATAATAAAAATAAAAAAAGAAAGAAGTCGGTTTCATATAAAATAAAATAAAAAACAAAAAAGAAAAGGAAATGTTGCTTGTTAAGTGCTGTTGAGTTACAACTGAGTCATATCTGACCCTCTGGCAGGTTCTCAGAGGCAGTAAACCACGCCTCTTTCTCCCAGGAAGCAGCTCGTGGATTCGAACCACGTGCCTTTGGGTTGGCAGCCATGGAAGGATTATGCTGCTTCTGTTTCCAGGCCTGGCCCTTGTGCTGTCCTGCAGCCTTCTGTTCCCCCTGCTTCTGTCTCAAGTGCTCGGCACAAATCCTTTAGTGACACTGTTGGTTGGCCTCCATCTCTCATAACAAATGCACTGGTCATGTTTAGGGCTAATTGGGTGCAGTTTAATTTTAGAATCGTTATAATCAGGATTGCTGTTTTTATTTCCATTTCCTCATCCCCGGGCACAGGCAGCTACAGATACTCAACCAAACGATGCCCTTTGGGGTGATTTTCGATTTTCTCACTTTGGGAGGCATATTATTGTGTCAGCTTGTGGAGGGTTCAGATGTGGATTGTTAAACACTTGGCCCCCTACTCCCCTTCATCGGGCCATTTAACACTCCTCATAAATGGAAAACAGTCCATCTGTACGCTCTTTGGGTGTCGAGGAGACTGTCTCGTTTTGGGGTGTACTTGCACTTCTTGCAAACCTGGGTTCTGTTGAATGAACAGTCCGCTGGGCAAGATGCAGACCAGAAGTGCTGGGGTGTTCGGGGTGGCCTCCGGGAGCTTCCCTGGGGCCTCGCCTGAGCGCTCTGCCTGGAGAAGCTGGTGGCCACAGAAAATCTCTAAACATTCACCTGTGAGTGAGGGTGAGGAGCAGGGTGCTTCCGGTGACGTGGACAGGCCAGGGTGCCCGTAAAGCCCACAGCTTTGCTGCTGGAATCTGCCTTCTGCGTCGCTAATCTCCGTGGCGCTGTGTTCGTACAACAAACAGTTAAGCTCTCAGCTGCTAATTGAAGAACAGGCAGTTTGAAGCAACAGAGTGGCTTCCTGAGAGAAAGACACACCCACCTGCTTCTGTAAAGATTTCAGCCTAGAAAACCTTGTGGGCAGGTGCATTATGTCACCTGAGGCTACAGTGATTCAAAATCACTTTGACAGCCCTGAACCACAGTAACTGCACCAGCTGGCATAGGTTCCCGGGCAGTGCATGTGGTCTGTGCTGGTCCATTAAGTGGCTGGTCAGAGGTTGAACCCAGCCTGAGGCACAGTGGGAGAAAGGCATGGTCTGCTTCCATAGAGATAGGCAAAGGAGACTGGAGTGTTCGGTTGATTCTAGTTCCTGAGATGCTGTAGAGCAAAGTCAAATGTCCAGGAACCAGGGATCTCCAAGGTAGGAAATGTAGTCGTCGTAGATGGCCACGGATTTTCCCACGAGACAGCTGGTGAGTTCCACTCACCAACCTTTTGGTCAGTAGATTGGAGATGAGAGGCTGGGGAGAAGTTCTAGGCTGCAGGCCTCACTTGGCATTGAGACGCTGGCTGCTGGTTGGGTAGCGTTTCTCCTAGGAAGGGTGGAGACTGACAGGTGGCAGAGTCTGAACTGACGGCTGTCTCTGTTTTTCCTCTTCAGAAGTGCATGTTTTGCAGAGGCCGGGTGAAGAAGGTCTCCGGAGCCTGCATCCAGTGTTCCTACGGCCGCTGCCCGGCCTCCTTCCACGTCACCTGCGCCCACGCGGCTGGCGTGCTGATGGAGCCTGATGACTGGCCCTACGTGGTGAACATCACGTGCTTCCGACATAAGGTCAACCCCAACATGGTAAGCCCGTCTCCTCCCTCGCAGATGCTGGTCTGTGTGTGGGCCTTCCTGCCCCCGCTTCCCCAGGCCCAGCTGCTTCGTTCTGCAGCTCCACTGTCTAGATGGTGTGTGTCCTGAGGGCAGGGCCTGTGCTCTGTGGAACACTGACATCAGCCTGGGATCCATCGGTGTCTAGTGCTACTCAGCATGGCAGATGCTTATCCATGTGGGAAGAGGGAAGAAAAGAATGAAGGGTACTGTGTACCCGCCCTGGCTCTAGACAAGGTGTCAGAGCATGGCCGTAGACCGTGCACTGACTGGATGGAGGGATAGAGGGCAGGGGAGGCCGCCTGTGAGGGACTCACTAAGCAGTGCGCTGTCTGTGTGGCTGCGCACAGAGCCCACTGGTCCTTATTATGTCTTGTAGAAGAAACACAGCAGTGACACAGTGAAGGGACAGAAGGGCGACAGGAGACTTTGCTGCCTGAAATCAAATGCACAAGGGCCAGCATGGCCTCCCTAGGAGGAGAGAGGACCATCTTGTAGAGAAATGGAAATGGTGAAGGGAGAGAGAGAGAGATGAAATTTGGTTTGGGGTTTGGTTTTATTTTTTATGTCTTCCATTCCACTCAAGACTGGGTCCATTTCTAGGAAGGACTATTTGCAGTCCCCTGCTGGGTAAATGAAACGTTTCATTCCCTTTACCTGTTGCATTAGTTTCCAAGTTCTGCTGTAATGAAGTATGACCAAGCAGGTAGTTGATGGGAACAGAAAGGCACCCCGTCACCAGGCTGGGAGCTCCCGAGTTAGGCATTGGGCCATTTTGATGCCTTCTGGAGGCTCCGTGGAAGAATTCCTCACCCCAGTGCCTCTCTAATAGCTTGTAGTGGTGGCTGGAGGGCACCCGCATCTTTGCAGCACCCCTCTCCCCCTCCTTACGCTCATTCTGTGCCCTGCCCATCTTTCATGAAAACACAATTTACTGGCTAAGGACTCACGATACAGCAGTATTTCATCTATTACATCATCTTGACTTTCCTGGTCGTACCTTCTAAGGCTCTGAGTGTAAACAAGGACACAGGTAGTGGGCACTTAGGCCTTCGTGTATCTTTGTGTGTAACACAATTCAGTTATGACACTTGCCCTTGGCGAATGGCCCCTTTCTTCTGTTTCCAGTGATCCGTGGGGAGACAATGGCTGCATTTTCTGTAGCACTTCCCACCTCTTTTTCATTGTTGTTTGGCTCCCAAGGAGGAAGCTGCAGCACTGGGCAGACCCTCAGCGTGCCAACTGCTGGTCTTTGTTGTTCCTGCAAGGCTGGGCCCCAGGCGGTTGGCTTCTCACACGCTCGCTCTGTGCGAGGTGTAACCTCTTGTGAGCAGCCTGCCAAGTTGTCCACGTTGGCTTGTGAAACCGTAAGCTGTACATAAGACAGCTCATGGCTTTTTGTAATGATTCCAGAATTTCCCACCAACCTCTTTAGAGAGGCTTTACTTCTGTGCGTTGGGACTGTGTGGATGTGTGTGAAGGCTCAAATGCACAGAATGATGTCACCAGCTGTCATGTCTACTTTAAAGTTGTTTACTGTTATGTTTCAAGTTGCACGTTCATGCAGTCATGGCATGCCCTTAGTTCCTGCACTTTTACTGAGAATAGTATTCAGTACTCACTAGGAGCTACCTCTTATCAGCTTTACAAGCACTCTGGTGATAAGACATCATGCTAGCTTGGTACTTACTTGGCTTTTTGCAAGTCCTGTTTCCTGACAGTAAGGATACAATGTATATTCTTAGAGCATTAGCTCATTTCCATAAATGTGAATGCTTTGGAGGTGTAAACACAGCCCTAAACTTGGGGATCAAATGAGTTGGAGTTCTCACTGAAGTTCTCCGGGTAACAGACTTCAGCTCTATGCATGTTGCTTTTTTCTAAGCTCGGCTTTCTCTTCGGTGACAAATGGTGCTCATGCTGGTGTTTTCAGTCCATGGACAGCATGACGCAAACTCAAAAACTGCAACTTGTGTTACTACTTCTCTTCTGCCTGTGCCTCCAGCCATCTGGGAATCCACCAGCCATGTGGTAACATTTTCATTCTCATTATAAGGCCAAAGAGACTATCCTTGAATCAGTTAGGTCTCTTGCTCAAGAGTTGTCATGAATGAACTGCAAGCAGAATAAAGGCTTGTCAGCGTATACTTTGTTACACATGCTGATTCCAAATCCCAAGACCTGGATGGTGCTTGAGGCTCATCCAGAATTCGGCGTGGGTCCGACGTCCCGGTCTAATCCTACAGAGCTGTGTGGTGCTGAGGCTGTGATTGAAGACTTGCAGGGATGTCATCAGGACCTTGTTGTTTTGGCTGCCTTGTGTTCATGTTTGTTCTACTGTGTATTTCATAAAAGATAAAGAAAAAGAAAATTATTTGACTTCGAGGTGATTTTAAAACTGCTGTCCCCTAGTGGTAAGGAGCTGCAACTACAATCCCAGAGGCTAACGGTTCAAATCCACCAGATGCTCTGCTGGGGAAGGAGGGACAATCTCCTCCTGTACCAGTCAGATCTGATCTGACAGTACACGCACACAAAAATAATAAAATAAAATTTAAAAAAAACACACAGAAAACCCCAACCTGCTGTCCCCACAGATCTACTCAGGTGTGGCACGCTTGGGGAAATGCCCCTTATATTACTTGTGGCAGCTTTTCCTTATGGGGGAAGAATGCTCACTTTCAGAAATGGCCTTTGTGAAGTGCTCGAGTGGGCAAGCACTAGGAATATGGTGGTGGTTGTTGTACCGTCAAGTCAGAAGCAACCATAGCTGACCCTCCAGTAGGCTTTCAGAGGCTGTAAGTTGCACTGGAGAAGATTTCCCATCTTACTTCCGCAGAGTGTCTGGTGAATCTGAACTGCATACCTAAACCGCCAAAGCTTAGAATGTTAGATTTCTAAATTATGTTCTAGAAAGCTCTTCCTTATCCATTCTTCTTGAGTGGGACCCCGTGCATGGATTTCTGTTGAGTAAAACTTATAGCAAGTGGCCACTTGGGCAACAGAGCCCTGGCCTCTCCTGTGCCGTCCTCATCGTCTCTGACACACATGAGCCCATTGCTGCAGTCACTGTGTCGATCCATTTCATACAGAACCTGCACATTTGCTGAAAAGCCTCATGATTGTCCCTGTTTCCTTCTCTTTTTTATGTGCGCGCACTCAGAAGTTCAGATTCAGTCACTATTTCTCTTTGTGTGAAGGCTAGAAGATCTGCTTGTTAGAGCCAGGGTTCTTTATTATGCTGTGATTATTTGGAAAATTGTGTTTGCCCCTCAGCGGCAAGGCTGCTGCAACTTTGTCTCAGATACTTTGAGCATGTTGTCAGGGTGGGCCAGTCCTTGGAAAAGGACATTGTTCTTGGAAAATTAGAGGGACAGGGAGGGAAAAGAGAAAGGGAGGGAAAGAAGACCCAGGGAGACGTGTGGACACAGTGACTGGCACAGTGGGCTTGAGCACGTCACAGGCCACAACATCCCACAGGTCGCAATCCAGTGCCGTCCTTGGCTGAATCTGAAGGATGCCATTTGGACATACTCAGCCACTTAGGGGGATTCTGTATAGATCTTTGTAAGAAAAAGGCAATAAATAGTAAAATAGTTTTGAAACTTGAGGCCCTCCAAACATATCCTTTCCTTAAGAGGGGTCTTGGGGGTCTTAAGAAGACCCTAAAGTACATCTGAATTTCATAGTACTGGGGTCCATAACCAATGCCCTTGGAAGCAGCAGCCAGGAACTCAAAAGAAATACTACATTGGACATATGTGCTGCAAATGACGTCTTTATAACATTAGAAGCGAAGGTGTTATTTAGATGACTGAGGTACACTTGACCCAGGCAATGAGATCTTCCGTCACCTCATTGTTGAGCGATGAAGACGGAAAACTGAAGCACTGATGCATTTGAATTATGGTGATGGCCAAGAATATCTGTTGTCCCAGGGCTGCCAGAAGAGCAGCACATCTGACTTGGAGGGTGCTTCTTAGCAGCCGGAGGACCAAGAATTTGTCTCAGATGCTTTGGATGTGCTATCAGGATGGTCAAGTGTTTTGAGAAAAAACCAGACCAAACCATGGTACTTAGTAAAATAGAGCGTTAGTGAAAAGACAGGAAGACCTTCAATTAGAGTACCTGTCACAGTGGCCCCAACAGTGGTTTTGTCGTAGCAGTGGCTGTGAAGACGATGTAGGCTGGCCACTGTTCCCTGTGGTGAACATGGAGCCGCTGTGAATCATAACCACGTCGGTGGTACCTATCAACAGCACACTGTGTATGACACGGGCTCCTCTTCACACTTGATTAATATTTCTCCGTTCTCAGGATATGTTAGCTTTTCATCAATTTATACTCCTTAAAAATTTGGTGTTTATAAAACTAAAGCCTGGCATGTTGTCTGATAGCTTGTTAAGAAAATGAGGAAATTAGGTGACACTAACCCAGCGTTTTAGTGTTGGTGCTGGAGTTTTGCATCATGTATCCAGTCAGGAAATCTAAGTGGAAGGTGTCACAGATACACACATCTCAACACATTGACATTACATGTTATAAAACATGAAAGGCAAGAATTTTAATTTCCATATGTCAAAAATAGTAATTAAATGCCAGAGTCATAATGAAACCCATAGATGCTGACAAAAGGTAATGAAAGTATCACTTTTCAAGACTGTTAAGTGCACAGGATAGAAAAAGTAATTAAATAAGTTACAACGTTTCTATCCCGAAGTCTACTCCCCATCACTGTGTGTGTATCCAGGTGTGTTTACAACTCAGGAACAATGCCAAAGTTATCCAAGTGGATACCAGAGAAGGACATATTTGTGAGAAGTGAGGCAGGAAAAGGAGCGGGGAGCTCTTTAAGGATTTAAATCCCTGCTGCCCCAGATAGGAATTGAATCACTCGGACTTTGCAGGACCCAGTTCAGGGAGCAGGGATGAGGATGTAAGAAGTGGGACAAACCACAAACAGTGGAACAGAA